AAAAAAAAAAAATAATAATTCCGTACGGGACTCGCCGATTCACTGTACTGACGCGCCGATTCCGTACAGTGAATCGGCAAGTCACTGTACAAAATCGTCCGGTTCTCTCTAGAACCGTACGATTCCCATTTTTTTCGCCTATTCGATCCATCCATGGCTATTCCCAAGTCGAACCGGGCGAGTCCGGTTTGACTCGGCTTTTTTTTAAACATTGGTTGCAACCTTAAACGATCCAATTAAGACGCAGCTCCAAATTTTATTATAACATGTAATTTTTTTGTAAAAAATTATTAAGATTATCTTAAAATCCATTTTCATGTCTAATTAAAAAAATTTAAACTCCAAAAATAGTTAACATCAATGAGATCTATAAACATACGAAAATTTTGAAAATGGACGGCCTAGATAATGTATTGCAAGATGCACTATTTATGAGACTCAATAACTTCCTTTTTATATATTCATACATTTCGATGTCGAGATGATCAAATAGACGATTTTTCAACATTAAAACAGCCTTTTTGATAAATTTTTAAGGTGCATTTGTGATTCTACATTTGAAGGTTGCAACCTTATATAAAATTTTCTTTTTAATAAATTCTATTTTTAGTTTTGTGCGCAAAATAGCATATCTTCAATGGTTAAATTTCAACTCTAATGGCCAATGATGATTGCGATCATTTTATATTAAATAATAGCTTATTATATATATTTTTATATAAAATAATAATATCTACAGAAGAAAATTTGTTATAATAAGTTAAAGTCCTAAACAATCAAATTAAGACCCATCTCAAAAATTCACTAGAAGAAGTTGTTACGATGTATAAATACCCACTGATCTATAATCTAGACCTCTAAGATGTATAGACGTGAAAAAAAATGGATTTCAAGTTGGGGAAATAGTGCATCTTGTAATACATTATTTGGGTCGTCAATTTTCAATATTGTCAGATGCTTATATATTCGCTTAATCTACACTATTTTTTAAGCTTTAAATTTTATAATTAAAGATGAAGATACATTTTCAAGACAACACAAAGATTTTTGCTACTGAAATATCATTTTTAAATACTATTTAGAGGTATGTACAAAAATGAAGATACATTGTTCAGGACCACAATCTTAAATAAAGCACACTCATATTTAAAATAGGAAAAAGTTTACATAAGGTTGCAACCTTAAAATGTAGAATTACATATGCCCTTCAAAAATCCATCGGAAAAGATTGTTTTAATGTTGAAAAAATCTCTAATCGATCATCACGACATCGAGATATATGAATATGAAGAAAAAAAAAAAATTGAGTTCCAAGTGCATCTTGCAATATATTATCGAGACCGTCCATTTTCAAGATTTTCATATGTTTATATATCTACTTGATTTTAACCATTTTTGGAGTTTAGAATTTTATAATTACATATGAAAATATATTTTGAGATATTCCTAAGAATAATTTTACCAAAATTACATGTTAATTGGATAGTTTAAGGTTACAACCTTATAGAAAT